CCCCAAAACCCCAAAACCCCAAAACCCCTTTATAAGTAATATTATTGAATATTATAAATGAATCAAACCAGACCTTTTTCCCCTGTTCTTCTCTCAAGTAAGCAACTATTTGTATAAATTACAGGCCATTTAGCAAGAGATCAGGCACAAGTCAGGATCAGAAGTGTTTCTCCAGACGTAACTGCTGTTAAGAGGTAGGTGATTATCAAAGATAATTTTTGGAAGAGGGACATGTAAACTATGTAGTTAATTTCATATTGTCAATTATATTAGGAGTCATACATATCAGAACACTTTAATATATTATAAATTTGTTTTACATAATTTGAAGCTCTGGGTCAAGAATTGACGAAATCTCTTATTTTTAATAAGCAACCATTTATCTCCCTGTCCCTATTTCTGTTTCTCTGATTATATTTCTCAATATTAAGGAATTCAGGGAGTAATAGTAGTTTTGTTCAAATATTTTTATTTTGACTTCTCTTCAAAATAAGAGGTAACATATCATATTTCTAATCAAATCTCTCTCTTTCCTAACAAATTTTCCCTGACTAACTTACCAGTTCCAACTCCATTAAAAATATCCGTTTTTAATTTTGACCTCGCTTAAACCCGAAATCCAAAATTCCCTCATTTTACAATATTCCAAACAATACTCAAAAATTTCATCCAAATTTTAACCTAAGCCCCAAGTTTTTCCAAAATCTCTTCTAAAATCTCTAACACCCACTCTTCTGGTGCCACTAGGATTTTTCTTGCCTAGCTATGTTCAAGTCACTTTAAATTTTCTTCGGTCAAAGTTCACAACTGGCTTCTGCCTCGAGCTTAGCCTATAGCGATCTTGGGGGTTGTAGCAGAGATGATAACTTGGTATAGAGGCATGATCAACAATTCCCCAATGGGGTATTCACCAGTCCTTAGTAGACATAGTGATGCCGGAAAGGAAGTAAAGGATATTAAGAGGTGCACCACTAGGCAGAATAATGGCAGTAAAAGGAAAAAGCAAAGAATACGCAAGCAAAAATCGAAAAATAAGCTAAAACCTAAGGAAATCACTCAGAAAGATAAAGCTGAGTATTTTTATGGACCTTATCGGTCAGATTATTATCTCGAGAATCGGTCTAATTTTATCTGTAGTCCTGAGGGAGCTTGGGGGCAGATCACAGAGATTATTACCAATAAAGATTCAGGATCTTATGATGTACTTCTTGAGAGTATTAAGAAGCATACTGAGTGAAAGACCAAGAAAACCAAATGCTCTAGTAATGTCCTGAAGAATGGTAAGCAAGTATCTTAAATATAGTAGCGAAGAGAATAGTTTCCTCTCCTTTTTTGGCTCCTTATGCCAAGAAAACTTTTGATAAGACCCAACTTGGAAGTGAGAAACCGGTGTAAATTATAGTCACAAATGAGATAAACAAGATGAAAATGTTCAGGTCACTGTCATCCATGAAAGATAGGAGGAATAATTTGCAGAATGCACATAGATTAATCCAAAACAGAAGTGATCTTAGCTTAAAGCTTGAAAGTTGTCTACCTGATGATACTCCTCATGGTGAAGCTTTGGACAGATTTAATACTATAAGTCCAGAAAAATAAATTGATGCCAATGGGAGAAATCGATCAGATAATCAAAGAAATGGAAGATGAAGATAATGATGATAATATTCAGAGTATTTCTTATCTAGACCCTAACACTTTAGATATATCGAAAGAAATCAAAGACTGAGATAATGAAGAGAAAAATTTGCTGCAAATTAACAACTCAAACACCTTAGAATTACCAAATGATTACTTCAACCAAGATGAGGAGTCTATCAGCTCCTCAACTTCAACCGATAGTGATGAAGACGACGAGCATATCGACCCTTTGCCAACCCCTTCTGGGAAGGATAATCAGTCTGAATTTAACCCGAGGCCAAGTATTCTGAATGTAACTTTCCTTTAAGACCTAAAATAATGCTTCTCTAGATGATTAAAACACAAAGTAGAGGAACTGTCTTCAGAAATTTCAAAAAGAAATCAAGTCTGAAGAGGAACAATATTTTCAAAAGATACTCAGGCTTTGTTCCTCCTAAGAACAGGCTCAGCAGATTTTCGAAAGCTTCTCAGAGAAAGAGCAAGAAGCCCTCTCGTGGAGGATGTAAGCAACTCCAGTTATTCTTTAGCTAGCACAAGTATGACCATTATTAAGAGGTCTGAGTCTAAGCATATTGTCAAGCCTTCTCTATTCGCAAGGGTAAATTAAAAAGCTTACTTTAGCAGAGACAAAGTTTTACTAAAGAAAACCTTTCCCTGATAATTGAGGGCGAGAAACCTGCGAGGAGATATAGCTACGAGAAGCACTTGAGAAAGATCCAGATCAAGAAAAACTACAGGAAGAAGACTAATAACTTCAAGATGAGAAAGAAGAATAGGTAGGAGAGAGTTTGAACCATATAGCTTCCAATTGATGATAGATAACTTGAAATCAATGGTAAAGAGAGAGACTCCAGTCCCAAAAGAAAACCCTGTTTGATTATATAAGAAGAGGGAAAGCATAATTCCTTCTGCGTTAATATCCAACTTAATTCTTGACAAAAAGCCTATTAAAGGTACAAAGATGGATAAAAGATACACTATTAATGTATTTTCAGAAGAAAGATCAAATTTTAATAAAATAACTGCTTTCCATGACCATTTAATCTCCCAGTCAAACTCTCGGAACAAATCGAACACTTCAAGATTTGACAAAGGTAGCTATTTCTCTAATGTTCTAGTCTCTGGATATAGTGACAACAGCATCCCGACTCCTTCTCCAAACGACCACAAAAGAATTTCAGGCACTTCTCATCTCTAACCCTTAGGCTTTCACTCTGTAGGTCGTTCTGATATCGAAATAATCAACGAAGACATTGAATTACACAATGAAAATCACATCACTCGCTCTAAGAACCCCAACTCCAGACCAAAGCCCGCTCCAAAATCAAGCTCAAGGGTCCGCCCACGTCCAAATCCTAAAGCCCAGAAGTCCACCAGCTCCATTCTCAGTCAGAACCGTGCGCACATGAAGCAGATGCCTTCAATCGACCCTCTGGCCAGGAACGGGACTGCCAATAAGAACTATGTGTATACTTCCTTCATGAAATTTTAGGTTCAAGTACAAGGTAAATGAAGGTGTAGTAGAGATTGGAAATTTATGGGCTTTGAGGCAGAAGAATGATAGACTAAGTCTAATCCCTTTAATAAATGTTAAAAAAGATGATTATCATGTGTATAAAGATAAAGTAAGGGTTTAATTAATGATTAAAACTAGGAAAATGTTTTCTTTTATTCTTTAAGTCTCCAAAAATTACTGAAAGCATCTTTACTCATTAAGTTATCAAATTTTATCCTAGTAACTTCTTTTCCCCATTAATACACTCCTCTAAACCCTATAAAACCTTTAATACCATCCAAAGCCTACAGCCAACCCTCTTAAACAAGTTCATCAAAAATCCAAAAGTCTTAGCTCCCAGTACCAAACCCCGAGGTAGGTCCCTTCCAGCTCCTTCTGGGTTAGAAGAGCCCAGAAGGAGCCGCCTAGAAGTCCTGGGCGTGCCAAGACTGTGTTTTTGGGGACTTGAACTGGGAATTTTGGGGAAATTTGTGCTGAATGGTGTATAGTGCAGAAGAGAAATCAGTGTATTAAGGTCAAGAATTTGAAGAGAATCAGGAATTTTGGAGGAGGTAGGGAGATTATAGAGGATTTGGGGATGTTTGGATCTGGATTTGGTCATAGAGATGCTTTTAGGGTAATAAAACTATAGGTAATGGGTGAAGGAAGGCTCAGAGTCCTGTTCCATGTGCAAATGAGCTTAGTCTCTCCTTTGAGAAGTCTATCCCATTGCTAAAATTTGTAAATCTGGTATAAAATTTGTAGAAGGGGCATAGGAAGCATAAAAGGAAGGAAAGAATGCTGCATATCAACAAAAATTACAAAAGAGTTATCAGTCCTAAGCTTCAACAAAGTGAGGAGATAGAGGAGCCTGCGTCTGTGCTGCTTAAGAAAGCCTCAAGTCCAACGAACAAGACTTTCAGGATCAAAAATAGAGCTAACAAATTCAACAGATGGGTAGATCTTTGAGTGTTATTTTTAGTGTAAAAATTTCATCTTCATGCCGAACTCCACGATCGACCAGAAAAATTTGATGAAAGTTAGCTCTTTTAATGAGAAACCAAGGATGGAGCATGGGCCTTTCTCACCAAATGTGATCAGGAAAGGCATGACAAAGCTGATAGATTTCTCAAGTAGTAAAAGATAGTCTTTAACTGTAGACAAAACTATTCAAAATTTGCAGCCACTGTCACCAAAATTGAACTATTTTCAAAACATTCGGATGAATTTGATTAACAAGGTAAGTTCACTCTTAAATTTCATCAGAAAACTCGTCCAATTTTAGGGAAAATTGCAGGGATGTTTTAACAATACTTCACGAGTAGTATCTCCTCTTGAGTCAAATAGGATTACTAAAATCACTTCGCCTGACAATACTTATCATCCAAAGGTTAACCTAAGGACAAGGAATGCTCAAGGATGTCTGCGGGTAAAAAAGAGTAAGATTCAGTCAGGATGCTCCAGAAATAACAGAGGGCTCAAAGATAGTCTATTATTCTGATCTCTGTAATAATCTTTGTTTCAACACTATGTATCAGAGGTGGGGTTTTGGGGTTTTGGGGTTTTGGGGTTTTGGGG